TCACTCACCGTGGACTTTTTAGTAAGCATCTCTTTGGCCATAACATCCATGAGCCGTTCCTTCTCCTCATGATAGCGCCGTTGCTGCTCTAAAATTGTCTCCATTTTCCCTTGGCCACGGCACTTCAATTCAGACCACTAACACTGCCGAAAACACCGCCTGCCGCCTTTCACGCCTGCGTCTCAGAGCGCAGCATCCGGCTGCACCAAAGTTCCGCGTGTCCCGGAAGTGGCTTGGGGGACTCAAGAAAAACTGAACACCACAAAGAGCAAGTCGATGCTACCGGCGACAGTAGCTACACTGCCCCCTGCTGGCTGGAGGTCTGAAGGCGCGCTGCCTCCGCAATGAAAGAAGTCTGCAAGAATCCTGTAGGCTGAGGGTGAGAGACAGCTGGCTTGCCTGGGGCTTGCTGCAGACAGCTGGGCTGGCAGGGACTCACCGATAAGTTGAAGGATACAGAACGGAAAGGGAAACTGGAAGCTGTAGTTTTTAGTGTGTGACCTCTGGTGATGTTTTCCCCTTTTCTGGGCTTTATTTAGTGTGTCTGTCAGTAAAATGGAGACGGTGGTGGTTTTGTTCTTAACAAAACTCATACGTACTTAAACACAACCTTTGTTTATTAGCAAAGGAGTCTTTAAGAAAAACGTGTACACTCAAGCAATGATATGCTTGCTGTCCAGCACAGGTTGGCTTCTGATTCTCTGTAATCTTTAATTCTTCTGCTTTTGCCTACCACTTGCTGGAATTACAGGCATGAGCCACCATACCTGGCCACTGTCTAGCTTAGAAAATGAAATCTAGGCTGCCTTTCTTTAAAGGAGGAAGAAGAGGAAGAAGCAGAGGCAGAAGAGGCAGAGGAAGACAGATCTCTGTGAGTTCTAGACCACTTTGGTCTACATAGTGAGTTCCAGGACTGCCAGGACTACATAGAGACCCAGTCTCAAGAAACCAAACCAAACACAAACAAGCAGAGTGTGAGTCCGTAGAGAGCCTATCTAGCACACACTAGGAAAAACAGCGTTGGAGCACTGCAGAGTGGATCACACCCGTGATCCTAGCACGTAGGAGACTGCAGCAAGAGGAGAACAAGTTTAAGTTCAGCTATGTGATAAGACTGAGCTATAAGACTCTATCTCTGTACACACACACACACACACACACACACACACACGTCCCAAGGCACTGGGTTTGAGCCGCAACACAAGAGAAGCGACTCTACTACATGCCTACTCTAGGAGAGAAATGAAAACATTGTCCATGTGTTCCTGTTACTCATAATTCACAAAAACTGTATGTATGTGACCCAAGAGCTCATTCATTGTTGACAGGAGCGATTGCTCAGCAGTTAAGAGCATTTGTTGCTCTTCCAGAGGATCTGAATCCAGTTCCTAGCATGCAAGTCAGGTGGTTCACAACCACTTGAATCTCTAGGTCCCAGGGATGAATGGGCACCCTAATTACCCACTCTTACATATACCTAACTCACTGGTGAATGGATAAACATGTTATCAGAGAATACCGTTCAGCAGTGAGGGAATGCATCATACTCCATAAAGAAGGAAGGGACTGGTATAATGGTTTAGCAACTAAGAATATCTTCTAGAAGACCCAGGTTTGGTTCCCAGCACTCACCTTACAATAGTCCATGACTCCAGTTCCAGGTGACCTGATGCCTTCTTCTGACCTCCATGGACTTCAAGCATCACACAGTACACATATATACACATGGGTAAAACACTCATACACATACAAATAAATAATTTTAGATGAAAGAAAGGGGCTGGAGAGGTGGCTCAGCAATTAAGAGCACTGACTGCTCTTCCAGAGGTCCTGAGTTCAATTCCCAGCAACTACATGGTGGCTCACAACCATTTGTAATGGAATCCAATACCCTCTTCTGGTGTGTCTGAAGAGAGCAACAGTGTACTCACATATATGAAATAAATAAATCTTTTTAAAAAAGGGTTTGTTTAGAGGAAATGTTGGGACAGGCAAATCCATGGGGACAAAGGGAAAAACGAGAAGGAGTGGTTGCTTGTGATAAGAGACTCAGAATGCACAGAAGGAACCCTTCCGGAGGTAGCAAGGGTTGTGCGATTCTATCAACTTAGCACTTAAAATGAATGACTTGGTGGTATGTAAATTATAATCTCAACAAGTCTCCTGTTTAACAAGAATAGGGGGGCAGGAGAGATTGATTAACACTGGTCACTCTTCCAGGGGGAGGCGGTTCTATTCCCCCCCCCACCATATGGCAGCTAACAACTATTTGTAAGACAGTTCTGATGCCCTCTTCTGGCCTGTATGAGTACTTCATGCATGTTGTGCGCATCTGTACATGCAGGTAAAATACCTATACATGTAAAATAAAAATAAACAAATCAGCTGGCAAAGGCCAAGGCTAAGTGAGACCCTTAGACAAAAAGAAAAAGACTGGACTTCCTACTGCCCACTCAATAAGCTGGGCATCCCAGCACAATCCTGTAACCCTGGCTCCAAAGCTGGCACAAACAGGAGGATGACCGGGGCTTTCTGGTTTCTAGTCTAACCAAGAAAACATAAACTCCAGGAGAGATACTACCTCAAAGGAATAGGCGGAGAGAGAGGACAACTGATACCCTGTTCTGAATTCTGTGTGTACTCAGATATATTCACACACAGGCACGTACATAGTCACATAGACACACATAAATCTAAAACAAAAAATAAAGAGATGGATAACCCTTGGTGATCTGGCATCAGAAGAAAAGTTTTCTGTTTTACTTTGTCATTTTAATTAAAGTGTGTATGTGTGTGCACATGTCAAGCCCGGGGCCTTACAAGGTGCTCTATCATTAAAACAAACCTCCAACCCCTCACAAATTTTTAGTTATACTCAAGACACAGCATCATCTCTTTTTCTTTCCTATACACGTGCTTCTTTTTTTTGTTTCTTTTCTTCTTCTTTTTTCCTTTTCTTTTCCTATTCACTACGTAGCCAAAGATGATCCTGCATTCCTGCCTTCACCCCAGTGATGGAATTATAGGCATGTGCCAGGCAGGTGTAACTATGTAAGTTCTTCTGGAAACCAGTTTACATTGAGATAAATGAACCCCTCACTCTGAGATGAGCAGGAGACCTAAGCCATGCTATTCTCCCTCAGCCTCAGGTCTGAAGTCTTCCTTCTAACTAACTGCTCTGTGCACACTACCCGCACAGGGGTTTCCAATCAGTCACCAAGCCCCGCCTCTTCCCTTCTGGCTGCTACAGGGCTCATGATCTCCTGGCCCGAAGTCCGAGTGTTCTGATCAGCCTGCTCATTTTACCCTGCTAATCCATTATTCAGACACAGCCAGAGTGAGCTTTCTCACACTGACCCTCCAATGCCCCCGCTTCCACATTTCCAAGGGCTGCTCACCAGCCGGGTGAGGTCTGTTTAAGTTGGCATCTGACTTTTGACCACCCTGGCTCTGCCTGCCATTTTAGTAGCTTGGCACTTCCTCCATAAGGAATTACTTGTGCTTCCCCAAACCAGCCTATGTTTTTAGGTCTCTGGGCCTTTCCCCAGTTATTTTCGAGGCTTAGACTGTCCCGCCTCAACAAGTGTTTTATTGAACTTGTAGCAAAAATTGGGAGTGCAGGAAGCTGGGAAGGCCAGTGCATAAGAGGCAGGTCCTTGGTTGGTGGAGAAACAGAAAATGTAAACCTACAACTGTTATAAGCACGCATGTTAGGTATTCACAAAAATGTGTTGAAGGTTGGGCAGCTGCTGAGATGATCCTTCTGCAGTGTACTTGCTGTCATCTTCCCACCGGAGTCTTCAGTTCCATCCCCCTAAGCCCCACATGGTGGAGAGAACTGACTCCCATAAGTTGTTCTCTAACCCCTCCGCTGTGGCACGGCAGACAAGGACAGCCTGGGCTACAGAATGAGCTCCCGGACAGCCAGGGCTACACAGAGAAACCACCTCAAAAAACACAAAAAACAACAAAACCAAACCAAACCAAACCAACAACCACCAAACACCACAACACACACACACACACACACACCAATTTTTTTTTTTTTTTTTGAGTGTGATGGTTGGCTCACACCTATCATCTTATTTTTCTGGAGGCTGAGGCAGGAGGATCAGTCTGGACTATACAATTAGACCCTACTCCTCAGAGCCCATAAAGGCCAGCGGCTGCCAGTATCTTGATCTTCAGGTGGTTGTCATTGCGACCTTGGGCAGATGACTCCAGTAGTCTACACCTCTGAGAAGGCCAGCCCAGAGTTAGGGAGGGTTTCTGGAGGTACTGCACTTTCACTGTTTCCTCTTGGCAGCCCCGTCTCCCCTCCACCCCTGCGTCTCCACCTCCAGAGACCGCCTCAGCCACCCAGGCGCATACCTGCCGCCTCAGTTCAACCGCAGAGCCGGCGGCCAGGCTTGGGCGTCCAGCAGGGGAGTGCTCCGCCCCATCGCCCCACTTCAGGGGACAGCCCTCCGGCTCACTCCCGCCCCCGCCAGTGAATCACGAGAGGCGGGGCCGTGACCCATTCATGCTGGGAATCGGATCCAGATGTTCCCCCGGCGCGTGCAGCTGTATCCTTGCCTTTTTTGGCAAAAAAACGTGCGGCCGTGAGCGGATCCTGAGCCGCCCCCACTAATCCTTGGGAAGAGGGGGAAGGGGGCTGAGGGTCTGGGCCCAACTGGGGATCAGAACTCGGTGCTTGTATGTCGGGTTGAGGCAGGGCTGTTGAGGGTGGGGGAAGATGTGTTCCAGACCAAGAAACCCACTGCCACTTGGCTCTGTCTGGCACCTCTCCCAATCCCTCCCTTGCTCACAGAGGAAAAAGCCCTCTGCCAGCAGTGGGGAGGTTGGCCAAGCTTAAGAGGGACCGGTGTGGCTGCCAGAGGGGATCCTCTTCCTGGGGAGAGAATCCCCACCCCGTGGCCCGCCCACTAGGAGGTTTACAAAAGCCTGACTCAGCCGTGGTACCTTCCTAAACCCTCTCGACAGATACACGGGGGCTGTGCTCCCTCACACTGCTTTATTGCATTCTCTGGGAACAGGGTGAGCAACCTTCCTGCTGCCTATCCGGGCAACATGGAGCTGAAATAACACGGTATGCATAGGCTGGACAGCACCCTGAGCCCCTAATCTACTATACATAGGACTGCAGCCCAGAGATAGGGGTGGGATGGGGGTGAGGTCAAACGGAGGGGGGGGGAGGTATGATCTACTTTTGAAGACTTCTTAGGCACCTGCAGGAAAACTAAAAATCTACCCTAGAAGTCTAGATTTAAGGAGGCCTAGGCCTCAGAGTCCAGGTTTGCAAGGCTGGGGTGTCAGAGCCTTGATGTGGGGAGCATTCATTTCTGGAGTCCAGACTTGGAGAAAGGTTTAAGTCATGGGTGTTCCACAAGAGCCCAGATTTGGGAGCTTGGGTCAAGGAGTACCAGTGGGGTATGTTAGAACTGGGTGGCTGAATCCTGAAGTCCCCAAGAGTGGGGAGCATGGGAGGCCCGTTTTAGGGAGGGGCTGGGCCCCAGAAGTGGTTCAAAAAAGGAGCCATAGTCTTGAACCCTTGGTTTGGGAAAAAGGAGAGTCAGGAGCTTTGGCTCAGGGACCTGCTTGGCTGCAGCCCTGGCACAGAACTTGGTCTCCGTCTGGTACAAAGCCTTGGCCCACCAGGGAGGTGGAGCAGCGGGCACAGGAAAAGCAGCTGTGGTGCCAATGTCGGTCTTCGAAGGACACATACTTGCCTCCACCGAGTCCTGGAGGAAGGCTGCAGGTTAGCTCTGCAGGTCTGGGGACACTGCTGCCCCTTAGCCTCACCCTCATCTGCACTCTTACCTGCGCCCTCGCCGCTGCTCCCGCCTGTGATGGGGCGCTTGCAGCTGCTGCACTTGGGTGCAAAGAGTTCTCCAAAGCAGGCCACACAGTAGGGATCGTCATCCCGAGATGTGAACTGCTGGCCTGCAAGGGGTGTCTGGCACCCAGTGCAGACCAGGCACTCTCGATGCCAGGGTTGATCGCGGTATGTCACTCCACCCTGGGTCAGCGTCTGTGGGGGCATCATCCATCAGCAGGGGAGTGAGGATTCCCACCCACAACAGGTCCTACCCTGAATTCCCAGACCCAGCCCTCACCTTGCTGCAGCGGGCACACCGAGGAGCAAATTTGTTCTCGTAGCAAGGCACGCAGTAGTGGGCACCCTTGTCAGGCACGAAGGAGCGGGAGCCCAGTGGCTGCTCACAGCCACTGCACAGAAAGCAGTGCTCATGCCATGTCTGGCCTCCATACTCCAGCTTCCGGGACCCTGTGGGAAACAGGAATCTCACTTAGATGTTGGCCCAAGCTCTTGAGAGCCACTCTGCCAATTCCTCTCCCCAAGCTGTCCCCACCTCTCCTATAACCTGGTAGAGTTGTATCCATGCACACCAAGCAAGACTATTACCATGTACGTTACATATGCCAACCTCTCCCCTCCCCTCGAACTTGCAAGACGGTACAGCACATGCTAAGCACGTGTTAAACCTCCACGTCTTTGACGGGACTACCTTAACATACACCAAGCTTCTGTGTAAAATATATGTTGCCCCAGTACATGTTAAATAAGTCATTATATACCAGAACTACCAGTGTGATACTCAGGCAAGATCCCATTAACCAGGCAACTCTGCCTACACAAAGCCTAATGCCCAAGGGTGACAGGCTCAGTACATGCTAAGCCTTTGCATATTCTAGGTCTATCATTCTCCACACATGCTAAATCCCCACATACTCAGCAGGCACACTGGTCACCATACATTTCAAGCCTACAGTTTGATCTCTGCACCCAAAATGTCAACGCAGCAAGCCCGGAGAATCTCAGTATACCAAACATGCCGTGTGGGTCCTTCACATATGCTAAGCCCCGTGTGTGTGTGTGTGTGTGTGTGTGTGTGTGTGAAGCATGTGGGCTGCTATACATCTGGTGAGTCCTTAGGTGTTCACTAGGCCTACTGGTCTGATACGCTCAGTCTGCAGCTTGTCAGTTTTGGTACCTGCCAGGTTTTCATGTGTAGAGCCAAGTGTGCCAATCCCTGATGTGCATTAAACTCTCAAGAGCATACATGCACCATGGTTTCACTCCGGTAACACGAGGCGTGGGTAGGTCTCTACCCACATCAACCCCCATGCATGTATGAGACCGGTAGACTCAGATAACAATTCCCAAACCCAGGTAGAGGCCCTGGGACATACCAGGCATGACAGTCTCCCCACAGGCAGAACACTGGGATGAGAACGCTGTGCAGTAGCAGTCATTACAGAGAAGCTCATTGTCCTGACAGGTGAAAGGCTCATCAGCAAGGGAGCGCTGGCAGCGGCAGCAGCGGAAGCAGCCCTCATGGAAGTGGCGATCCTCATAGAACAGTTCCTTTGGGGAGACAAAGCAGAGGTGCTAGCACCCGGGCTTAGTGGATTTATCTTTGACCCTCTCCCACCAGTCTTCACGTACTCTCACCCGTTTGGGCGGGTCCTTACCCTTGAATCATGCCCGATGAGCTGCTGGCACTCGGCACAGGTGTTGGCGAAGGTGTTGTCGTAGCAGGGAACGCAGTAGGGGCCGCTGTCTGTCTGGATGTATTTGCGGCCGTACAAGGACTCCTTGCATTTTGCACAGTCAAATGCCTCGCTCATGGTGGCAGTGCCCAGTGAGCCCTGTTAGGAAGATGGGACAGAGTTCACCTGGAAGGGCTCTAGCATAGCCCTGGATAAATCCTCTTTGCATTCAAAAAAGAAAGGGAGGCATAGAAGAAGCCAGACCAGAGCAGGTGGGGATGGGGGCTCTGGAGGGACTGCTCTAGGGACCCCAGAGTAGTCAGCAGTAGGCTCAGTGTATGCTCAGATCTTCCATGTTCATTTCTATATTTGACTGAGAGGATAGGAAGGGGTCAGGAAAAAAAATCAGGAAGCAGAAGTTGTTTTCTTATCTAAGCCCTGGCTGATCTGGGGGAAGGGGGCTTTTCCTGGGTCAGTGACTCATTTCCTGCTTTAGCCTGAGGTTTGCTTCGACTCTCTGAACTGTCCCTAGGGTGCCAAAGGCCAGGACAGAGGCTACCAACCCTACTGCATATAGACAGCACTCTCACCTCCTGCCTCCCAGGATACAAATCATAGGAGTTTAGGGGATATTTATCTAGGCTTCCGATCTGGGGAGTTTTAGGTGGAATGAGCTGTTGTGTGCTCTCCCCCAACCCCAACTCCCTAGCGATGCAGGAAATAATGGAATGCTACAGAGATGCTTGTCTGATGAATGGTGCACGGCTGTGTGAGAAGTCGGGCCTCCCCTCCCAGGAGAATCAGCCAAGCAACAAGAACTTGAGAGGCTCAGCCTGGGTTCAGGCAGGAAGGAAACCCTGCAAGCTGGACACAGTCAAACTTCCCCAGCTGGACTCTCATCCTCATCCACCACCTCTGCTGCTGTCTCTGGTCACACCAGCCCGGGCAGTCTTGGCTGTGACATCTGCTGCAGCTGTGGCAGCGTGGAGAGCCAGATGTCAGCCTTCTGCCAGCCAGAGGGAGAAAAAAGGGAAAAACCGAGAGATGCCCCAGAGAGGCAGAAGGGAAGTGGAGACACACAGACAGGGCAGTGTGTCCCTGGCCACCTTCTGCCAGGTGCCTTTGCTCCTAATTCTGCAAAGCCCCCTGCATCTGGACAGGCAGCTTCTGCCTGCCTTCCATGATTTTCCAGGGTTTGAAGCCATAGTGAAAGCTGAGAAGGCAGGAGCCCCTGGAGCCCCAGTGGGGTCCCTTCTTTACGGGGAGCAAGACAAGGGGAGTCCTGAGCGCTGTTTCTGCAGACACCCAGCCCCCCACCAAACCTCAGACACTTTCCATTTTCTCAGGAACAAAGCATGTTTGTGGGATGAGGTCACCCACACAGCTGCCTCTGGAACAGGAGCAAGAAGAATGGGGGGGCAGGGAAATGGGGTTCCCAGTCTCTTCTGCTGGCCAATTCCAGTCTCCCCTGCCCCAAAGTCAGAGTTCCCCACCCTCTTCCACTATGAAGCAAGCTCTCAAAGGGCTGGGTAACGAAGAAGATTCCCCCAGGACCTACAGGAAGGGTATGGTGTCCTTGTTGCACAGGAGACTGGAGGAAGTTAAAGGGGGGTGCACAGAGGAAGCTACCATCCCCCTTCCCCATGGCTGCCCTGGCTTAAGATAAAGGAAAGGCATTCCCCACCTCTCCAGCACACACACACACCTCAGCAAGTACAGGAAATTCTCACCAAACACCTTGGTCTGCCTTAGCGTTCAGACTTCAGGCAGCAACAGATGTCCCAAACCTTAAAGGCCCACCTCTTTGTGGCTTATGGGTTTGAACTTTCCCTTCCACAAGGCGGGAGAACACCGGTTCACACCCAAAGCAGGACACAAGGCCACGGAGACTGGCGTCTTCAAAGTGGAGATTCCTCAGGTAGGGATCAGGCTGAAGGGTGGAGAGAGTCCCTCCTCTCTCCCCGCTCTGTCATTCAGATCCTGGTTTCCTCTGGCCCAGCATCTGAGAACTGCCTGGGCTGTTAGCCACTGGACAACAGACAGCAATACAGGTGGCCTGTGGCCATGTGTCCACTTGTGAGCCCTTCCTTCCGGGCTTGGCTAGCAGTAGCGGCAGCAGCTACCTTCCCAGGTCCAGGCTAGCCCTGGATCCACCCCCTCAGAGCCAGTCACCACAGTGAGATGAGGCACCCCAAATAGGGTATGGGTGTGCCTTTTGCTTCCTTCCCAGACTCTCCTAATCTCTTAGTCTATGTCTCTAATGAGGACAGGGTAAAGGGCACCCTTCTCTCCCCCCATCCCTGTCCCTCTTCCTCCCCCTCCCCCTCCCCCCAATCCCTGGCAAGGCTGGGGGACTAAAAGAGTGAGCTGGGAGAGGTTTGTATTCCTGGTAGCAGGTGCGGGGGGGGGGGGAATGAGGGGGCTGGAGGGGTAGGGAGGTAAAGAGGGTTGGAGGAGTAGGGGGGCCAGAGGGGGGGTGGTTTAGAGAACACAGTGGATCTTCCCAGTGACCCCAATCTGCTATTCCCATTAGCACACCTATCTCCATACCTGACTTAAGACAAACACACACACACACACATCAGTGAACTTCTTAGAGCTAAGTGGCAGGATATCTTTCTGTATGGTGTCCAGTGCATAACAGCTTGCTTGAATCACAAAATATAAACCTGACTTGAAATCCTGTGACCTTGGGTACACAGTCTTCATGCCCGAAGACTGTTAGTCCATCTAGTTAAATGAGATACTATTACCTCCTTCTCCTGAGATAGCTGTCAAGCTTAAATGTGATAAGCCCCATAACAGCGTTTGGCATATAATAACTCTGTACCCTTATGTAAGTTAATGGTAGTCACTTGTATTTTTACTACAAGTTCCTCAACTCCTACTGGAGCCAGATAGTGGGTCTCAGGTAGGTCTGAAGCAGGAGTTGATCTGGGATATGACCTTGGGAGTCTCAGTGAAGTCTGAGGGAACCACTGGGGCCAATTGTAGCTCTAGCCCAGTCATCTGGACACGGGGGTGGGGTGGGGTTTTAAAGACTTTAGAGGTGGGTAGTTCCCAGGAGCACACACTTGATTGGTATCTTGTTATTTACACAACACATACCCCAGGACCACTACATCACAGCTCACAAGGCAGGCCAGAGAGTCTATCTCCCCTTTAATGCTCTCAGCACAAGACACTAGGGGCAGGCTAGGGGCATGGCCAAGGCTGTCCAGCAATTGGAGTAGAAGTGTCCTATCCCTCAGTGAGGAACTCTGCCTAGAAATGCTTTGATAGTGGTGGAAGGGGCAGTCATCCTTGGGGGTGGGGGAAGGGGAATGGAGGGCGAACAGGAGATACACTAGAGCTGGCTCTCCTCCCCAGCTGCCAGCCTGCCATTGGAAGACACCCAGAAGTCTTTCCAATTACCCATGCCAACTGCTCAACCCTTTGGTATACCCCCCTTCCCCTCCTCCAGCCCCCCCATCCTAAATCCAGGAGGACCCTGGCCAGACCCCACAGCTGTGACTCAGACTTAGGGAAGACCCCTCCCCCTTGACAAGAGACTTAGGAGAGAAATTAGAGCCCCCCCCACCAGGCACCAATCCCAAACTCTCCACCGCCCCTCTTCCCCACAGGGCCTGGAAGTCAAAGCAGTTTAGGGAGAAGGGAGCAGATCCAGCAGCTGCTCTGAGGACAGGAGAGGAACATTTCATTCACCCCAGAGTCCCCTAGGGCCGAAGCAGAGCGTCCAAGATTTGAGTTTAAAAATAAGTTGGCGCTGTCTTAGTGACTGTGTGTATACGGGACTCTCTTTCTTCAGCTCAGCTTTACAGCCTCAGGTCCTCTGCCTTCTGGGGGATGGGCTGGCTAAGAGTCAATTTCCCCCTAGCTTTGCCTCCACCCTTTCAGGCCTGGGGCAGCTGTCAGGGAACGCACTAGGTGTCTCTCTCCTCGGTGAACTCTAGCCTCCACTCCGTACCTCTCAGTACCCTTGGGCTGCTGTCTTTGTGTTAGGGTGAAGGTGTTCCTCTATCTCTAGAGCTGTATCCCAGTGGGGCCTCCACTCTGGGGATCTCTATCCCTGTGCATCCAAGTCTTGGTCTCTCAGTGTCTCAGTGTCTCTGACCTGAGCGTCTCTTTAGGCCTCAGGGAGGCAGATTTAACGCTAGTCTAACAAGCTCCAGCCTCGGGGTCCTCCAAGGCCCTGGGAAGGGCGCTAGCAATGAGTTCCCTGGGTCATACATTTGCTTCTTAAAATGCTCCACAGAACCCGGGTCCGTCCACCCCCCACCCCCCACCCCCTTCCTCGAGAAGTTTATCCGGCCGGCCATTCCCTGCCCTCGTTGGGGTGGTCCCGGTAGCCTCCTAGGGCGCGCGTTCTTGTCTGTTCTACCAAGCTCCCTAAGACCGGCAGTTTCTCCATCCCTGTAGATCTCTGTAGCTTTTCTAGTTCAAACTTGGTTCTCATCCCCAGCAACTCTGGCAGTCTCCGCCCGGCCCGGAGGCGCCGAGCTGAAGGGTCCGTGCAGGCGTGCTGGGTCCCGAGTTCGGGATGCTCCAGCAGAGGACAGGGGTGGGGGCCCAGGCAGCGACGCCGGTCGGAGCGCAGCGCGGAAACAGGGGCTGGAAGCTGGGGCGGGGGGGACTCACCTCGAAGCGGGCGCGGGAGCTGGGCGCGCGCGGCGTGGGTGGGGCGGGAGCCGATCGCCCGGCGGCTTCTACCTGCCGGCCGGGCCGAAGGGGCCGAGAGAGCCGCGCCGAGGTAGCCTGCTCCGACAGACTGTGTGGGCGAGTGGGCGCGCGGCCCTAAGCCTCCGAGGAAGTGCGCGGGCCCGCCCCGCCCGGACCCCGCCCCCGGGCCCCCAACCCGCCCGCGGGGGCCAGACCCCGCCCCCTCCTGCCTGCCGCGAGCCCGGCCCAGTCGAACCTGGCGCTCTGACCTTCTCGACCACTCCTTGCCCGCCCCCTGCAGCCTGACCCGCCTTCTGCCCCCCTCGGTCCCCTGGGGACTGCTGGAAGCGATTCCAGGCCAGAGGTGCTGGGCTCCTAGAACTAGCTAGAGTCCATCTGGGGACCAGACCCCCTCCTCTTTTTCCCTCTAGCTCATCCCCAGATGTTACACTAAACCTTAGCTTGGGAAGGAGGCCTTAATCCAGCCTGCTGGAGGCGTGGTTTTGATTCTGCCTTACCAGTGGAGATCAAGATTTGGTTTTTCGGTTTTTTTGTTTTGTGTTTTGTTTTCTAGAAACTTGGGCTAAAGAGATAGAGATAGAGATAGAGATAGAGATAGAGATAGAGATAGAGAGAGATAGAGAGAGAGAGAGAGAGAGAACCTCTATCCTCCTCAGTTTCAAAGGGCTTTATTCTATAAGCGAGTGGTGAAAGCCCAGGCAGCAACCTCCCCAACAACCTCTCCTCCTCAGCTCTGTCCTGGCACTGGGGTTTCTATAGTGCCCAAGAATAGTTTTGACCTTTCAGGCTCAGGGAGACCCTAATCGTAGGCCCCGTTGGCTTTGGGTTTCTTGAGAGGGTGTGTGAACAGTGTGAGTGGTTGGGTTGGTGCAGGCAGGAGTGGTTAAGAAGGGAGGGAACTTGTGGAGTTTCTGACCCTCCAACTTCTACCCTATTCTGGGAAGGGAGAACTGGCGCCTGCCAGGGACAAGAGGCCCATCCAGGTCCTTGAGGCCACCCCCCCTGGGATCCTCAGGCTTGTCACTAGGAATAAATAGCCTTGATCTGGAGGGCGGGGTGCGGGTGGGGGAAGAGCTCTGTTGTGCTGTTTGCAAAACAAGAGACAACAAACCCTGGTAATAACCTTTGCATCTCCGTGATGATTCAGATACACAGAGAGGCTCCCCTGATCCAAGGCTGCATCCAGCCAAGCTAGAATTGCAGGGGATTAAGACCCTTTAAGGCTGGTGAGGATCCTTCCCTTCTGTAGCACAGGTCTGGTTCCTAGGTCCTAAGACAGCCTCCAGGCCAGGTTTCCTTTCAAAGTTAAAGAATGGCCTAAATGTTGTTGATTCTTAAATTGCAAATGTCACGAGGGAGGGCAGAAGTTAGGTTGTTTTTGTTTACTACTGCATTCCCAGTATCTATTCCAGTGTTTGACCTGCAATAAATGAGATATGAAAACACTGCTTTCATTTGGATCCCCTGCCACTCCCTGCCAGGCACCTGCTATCAGGAGTCTAGTGAGGGAATAGACAGTCTGAGGGTGGGCTCTTCCTCTGGGACTTGTCTCCCAGATCTAGGAAACTCTGTGTACAGGAATGCAGGAAACACCACCATTCCTGGCTGGAGTAGACAGCAAGAGGGGTCTGTCTGTCCTGACACCAAGTGGAGATGGGAAACTGTGCTGTCTAGTTTTATGTCAACTTGACACAAGCTAGAGTTTTTGAAAGGAGGAAACCTTAATTGAGAAAATGTTTTTAGAAGATCAGGCTAGCCTGTAGGGCATTTTTCTAATTAGCGATTGATGGGGAGGACCCAGCCCAGCCCACTGTGGGTGGTGCCATCCCTGGGTTGGTGGTCCTGGATGCCATAAAAAAGCAGGCTGAGAAAGCTATGATGAGCAAGTCAGTAAGCAGCACCTCTCCATGGCCTCCCCATCAGCTTTTGCCTCAAGGTTCCTGCCCTGTCTGTGTTCCTGTCCTGATGTCCTTCGACGATGTGCTATGTTGTTGAAATATAAGTCAAATAAACTATTTCCTCCCCAACTTGCTTTTTGGTCATGGTGTTTCCTCACAGCAATAAAAATCATAACTAGGACAGAGTCTTCGCGAAAGGAAGAGTCAAGAGTGAGCAGTAAAGGTGCTTCATCTTGGATCCTCCTCCTCTTCCTCCTCCTCTTCCTCCTCCTCCTCCTCCTCCTTCTTCTTCTTTTAAGGCTTGAAGTGCTACTTAAGGGCCTTACCAAGAGCCAAGACTCTGTGAGCTCCAGTTTGCACCATTCCCTAAACACATTACATACATGAACTCATGTAAGTATTGTGTTTATATATATATATATATATATATATATATATATATATATATATATATTGTATTTGTTGGTGGTTTGTATGTGTATGTGGCCTCACAAGTGTGTGCTAGTGTACCTGTGTGCTTGTGTTGGAGGTCGGAGGACAAATCTCTGGAGTCCTCTGATGAGGGGGCTTGAGAGATGGCTTGGTGCATGAGCCTGCTTGGCGTTAGCTTTCTAACACCATGACCAAAAGCAAGTTAGAGAGCCAAGGGTTTACTTTAGCTTACAGTTCCACACTGCAGCAGCCCAAGAGATGTCTGGACAGGAACTCAAGCAGAGCAGAAGCCTGGGTAAAAACCACGGCGGAACATGCTACTTACTGGTTTCTTTCTCATGAGTTGCTCAGCCTGGTGTTTTTTATAGCACCCAAGACCACTAGCCCAGGGGTGGCACCAGCCACATTGAGCAGGGCCTCTCCATACCAACCATCCATACCAACCATCCATACCAACCATCCATACCAACCATCTATACCAACCATCCATATCAACCATCCATACCAACCATCCATACCAACCATCCATACCAACCATCCATACCAACCATCCATGCCAACCATCCATACCAACCATCCATGCCAACCATCCATACCAACCATCCATACCAACCATCCATACCAACCATCCATACCAACCATCCATACCAACCATCCATATCAACCATCCATACCAACCATCCATGCCAACCATCCATACCAACCATCCATGCCAACCATCCATACCAACCATCCATATCAACCATCCATACCAACCATCCATACCAACCATCCATACCAACCATCCATCAAACAAGTGAACCATAGATTTTCCTACAGGACAATCCTGTGGGGACGTTTTCTTAATTGAGTTTCCATCTTCCAAAATTACTCTAGTTTGTGTCAGTTTAACATAAAAAGTAGCCAGTTCACTACTTCTCCGGAAGACCTGAGCTCAGTTCCCAGCATATAGATAGATCTGGCACCTCAAAGTAGCCTGCAACTCCAGCTTTAAGAAATCTGATGCCCTCTTCTGGCCTCAGTCAGGAGCACAGGTGACATTCACTCACACAAAGACAAACATATACACATAAATAAAAATATATCTAAAAAGTGTGTGTGTGTGTGTGTGTGTGTGTGTGTGTGTGTGGATGCACATGTAGGAAGTCAGGGGCTACTTGTGGGAATGAGTTTTTTCTTCTTACCATGTCGTTCCTGGGGACAGTCAGCTTGGTGGCAAGTGCTTTTGCCCACTGAGGCATCTTGCTGTCTTGCTTGGAGTCAGTCAGATTCTGCCAGCATGGGTTTAGGTCAGGAACTAAGATCAGCAGGCTCATACACCAAGTTCTTTTACCCACGGAGCTGTCTCACCAGCCCTAAATATGCATTTCTAATCTTTTCAAAGGTGAGAAAACTGGTACTGGATTCAGCAGTACAGGTACTAAAATTGGAGTGATACAAAGATTAACATGGTCCCTGTGCAGGGATGACTTGAAAATTCATAAAATAATCCATATTTTAAAAATAATGTTTATGATTTATTTTATGTACATTGGAGTTCTGCCTGCGTATATGTCTGTATGAGGGGGGTCAGATCCTCTGGAACTGTAGTTACAGACTGTTGTAAGCTGCCACATGGGTGCTGTGATTTGAACCACAGTCCTTTGGAAGAGCAGCCCGTACTCTTAACTTCTGAATCATCGCTCCAGCTCCTTTAAATAAATTTTTATTGTATAATTATGTTTCATTAAAATCATTTAACCTGCAACAACAACAACAACGACAAACAAACAGAAAAATGGAGGCTAGACCTGTGGTGGCCTACACCTTTAATCTTAGCACTGAAGAAGCATAGGTAGACATATTTCTGTGAGCTGGAGGTCAGTCTGGTCTATACAGCCAGGCAGAGCTACATAGTGAGTCCCTGTAAAGAAAGAGGGAATGAGGAGAGGGAGAGGGGTACAGAAGGGGAACACAAATACAGTAGGTAGCTGCCAAGAGTGTCAAAGTCAAGATTGAAACTCAGACTGTCAAATGTCAAAGCTTCTCATGCCAAGTGAGCCTAACCATCACCTGGATAGTCAGTGAACCTCTGGAAGGCAGCCTCTCCCTCAAGGATAGCATAGCTGAGGACTGGATAAAACCAGAAACTACGTCATCAGTAGGCGGGAGCCATCCCTCCTTCCCTTTCATGGTCAAGTGGTAAGGTTCTGCTGTTAGGACTGAGAGTCTAAAGGTCAGAGAAAGTTAGGAGATCTGTGGCCTTGGCCGGCCTTGGGGAGGGAGACCTAGGACATGGGGGCTGTGCCCTTTCTCCTCTCCATTTCCAGTGGGCTCACATTTCCCTGCTCACTCTCTTTCCATTGGCCCAGAAAGATGTGCCCCAGGGAGTTCAGGGAGCAGCCTCATGTTCTCTCTGTTCCTGTTCCCCATCTGTCTTCTCCACCTTCTTGAGAAACAGGTGTGCCTGAGCCAGAGCTGGAAGCAGAGTGCTTGGAGACCTGCTTCAACTAAGGGAGGGGAGTGCTTGTTCCCTCCCACCCAGGAGATCCCTACGCACACTTCCCTACCTCAAACTCAAGAAGCCCCATCTTGTCTTCTTACTTTGCAAGAGTTTTCAAAAGACTTCTCTGGCTCTCTTCTGCCAAGCCGCTCATGGCTTCCTCTGGCTGCTGAATCACTCTCTGGTGCCTTCAACCACAAGACCTCCTTCCTCCTAGTGAGAAAATGCCCTTCCTTCCCTGGCTTTATTGCTCACTCTTAATGCTGCAATATGCAGAGCCCTCACAAGCCTTAAGCTTAGTAAATACTCTCTTTCAAATCCCTAGAAACGTCCTTTGTGCTCTCAAGCCCACAAGGGTGTAACAGAGGAAAAACTGAGTGACAGGCGGAGCATGGCAGGGAAGAGGAGACCACACGTGGCTAAAAGCTGTGTGTAGGTCCCATGTGTGTGGTAGTTACCACCTCTTTTAGTCTTAAAAAAAAACAAAACAAACAAACAAAAGATTTTGACCATGTGGCTCTAAATGCCAAGCTGGTGGTATTTGTCAATGTCAACCTAGGGCTAGTTAACTCGAGAGTCTTCTACCTCCAGGGTACAATGATGGCTTCCCCAGATGCTGCTGGTCACTAATACTTCTTCAGGGGACAAGGCAGGAGTGGATACAGCTACCATCCGGTCATTTATCAGATAGCTAAGCTTCTTGAGATGAGACTGGGAAGGTGGTCCCACACTAGATCATGAAGTAGCTTGTTTCCAAGGATGACAAACAAAATGGAGTTTCCCTCATGCATGTGTACCTAACTGGGCAAATAAAGATCAAGTGTGTAGAGGCAGGAAAAAGACTTTTTATACTGTGACCTTTTTCATATCCACTTGTCCCCTGAACTCTGAAGAGGATTTCCTCGGCATTCTTCAGCGTGAGAGGTGACCAGTGTCATGTAGAATGGATGCAATTAAAGAGTCTGTGGAAGCCTGCAAAACCTGTGTAATGGTACATGCCTTTAATTCCAGCACTTGGCAGGTGGATATCTGTGAGTTCAAGGCCAGCCTGGTCTACACTGACTTCTAGGACAGCTAGAACTACATTGTGACATCCTGTCTCAAAAAAACAAAAACAAAAGAGAGCCTGCTGAAGATTAGTTTCACGTAGTGGAAAAGATTCCAAACGCCAACAGATGAAAACATACCCGGGTGGGGGTGGCCCCCAAGGGGGTTGTGGGGGAGAGAGCACAAACAAATCCAAACACTGCTGTGATGCTGGCCAGGTCCAGCTCTCTCTTGTGCTACTTAAGGGTAGCTTTAGTGGTGACAAAAATAACAGGATAGCTGGGCACACTGTCACACACTTGTAATCCCAGCTCTTTGCAGATGCAAGAGATCACGGTGAATCTGAGGTCAGCTTGGTCTATGAGTTTCAGTGCAGCCAGGCCTACATAGCTAGACACTGCCTCAAAACACCAAACCTAATTAGACTAAGCCAAACCCAATAAAACAAACTACCAAAAAACAAAACAAAACAAAACCAGAAACAAAACAATTTTATTGTGAACATATTAACAAGTAAACCCAACATTAAGCACTGAAAACATATAATGTCATTTAAACCTCACAATCCTGAGGGTACAGAATTATTCTTTTTTTTTTTTTTTTTTTGGTTTGGTTTTTCGAGACAGGGTTTCTCTGTGTAGCCCTGGCTGTCCTGGAACTCACTCTGTAGACCAGGATAGCCTTGAACTCTCGAACTCAGAAATCCGCCTGCCTCTGCCTCCCAAGTGCTGGGATTAAAGGCGTGCGCCACCACCACCCGGCCAGAATTATTCTTTTACAACTAGATGTGGATACCAAGCCTAAGCAAAACTAACATTTTTTTGGTTAAGAACAGAGGTGGGATCAGAATATTCCCTCCACAGTTCAAGGCTCTGTCCAACACATTATACTACCTTGTGTTAAGTCTGCCAGGCAGACTTCACAGCTTTGATGATTGTGAAGGACTCAGAACTTTATTGCCATTATATGATTCTTTTCTATGCTGCTTATAGATACAATTCTGCATCTCAGTGCCCTTTATATTCCTATGAGCAAGACCAGCCTGCTCTTATGTTCGTGTTATGGGTGAGAAAAGTGATCCTCGTTAAAATCAGCTCAAAGTCATGCAACGCAGCCAGAAGTCATCTGAGGAACCAAATGTAGTTTTCAAATGATCTTTCCAGTATACTGTAAGATTCACGTTATTTCTAGTTTTTGTTTTGTTTGTTTTTAGACTGGGTTTCATTTCACTATATAGCCCTGGCTGGCCTGGCAATCACTATGCAAGACCAGGTCACAGAAATTTGCCAGCTTCTGCCTCCAGAGAGCTGGAATTAAAGGTGTGAGCCACATTCTACTTAGAATTTTAACCCAAGCCAAGTCGCAGGTGACAGCACATGCGCACATGAAAGCTGAGCTCAGCCAGAGAGCAGTGCCAACCACGTGTTCCCAGATGCCAACGTGCAGCCCAGAGCAAAGGCTAGGTCTCTGAACCCGTGAACACTCTCTGACGACTGAGGGCGCTGAAGAAATCCCAAGACTCTAGCTTAGGAAACTACATCTCCCAGAAGCCTCCTGTTCGGGCTGAGCGGGGATGTATTTCCGGTAAAGCAGGCTTCTGATAGGCTGCATAGCAAGCCGCAAGCAGTAGGCCCACTTCCGGTAGTCTTGGCGGACCTGGCTGTTGGGTAGTGCAATCGCGGTGGTGGAGTTTGCGGAGCATTTCTTAGACCTCAGTAGGCATGTCGGCGGCTTTTCGCAAGGCAGCCAAGACCCGGCAGCGGGAACACCGAGAACGAAGCCAGGTAGGCCCTCACAGGCCCTACGGGCGTCTGCCGGTGGCCTCCGCCCCCTTGCTGTCCCAGCATCCTGATACCTGACTGAGCATCTGCCTTCTGTCAATACCCGACACATGGGGCCTGACCCTGGCGTGGCTTCTCGGGGAGACCAGGGGACCGGGTTAGGGGGATTGTCATTCTCTACGGTGGAAGGTTCAGTGGGTAATTGAGTGAGGCAAGGTGTGTCAGATGCCTTTCCCTGGAAATTGAGGCCAAAGTCAAACTAATGTGACCAGCCACAGTAGACGCCCCACAACCGACGAATTGCAGGGGTGTCCCTAAAGTGGGCCCAACTTTTGGCATGGGATTTGTAGTTCGTGTAGATCTGTTCTATACCTCCCTCTAAAATCGTGGTGCTTTTCTTAACCCTTCTGGAGAGTGTCTTGACCATTAACAAACTTTGCTGGACCTCATAGCCCAGGTCTATAATTATAGCTACCAAAGAGGCCAAGGCAGAAGGAGCACAAAATCAGGGCCTGCCTGGGCAACTTAGACCTGACTCAAAATAACAATCTAAAAAAAATTCTAGACATAAACCTCAATGGTGAACAGTTTGCCTAGCAAGTGCAGGCCAGTAGATTTAGTACTTGTTAGGAAGGAAGAAGGGAGGGAGGGAGGGAATCCCCCACTAAATTTAGTTAGAATAAATAGGTGTGGATTTTCTGAGGAGAATGTGTTGGGGTTTGGCTATGCGATAGAAATAAAGATGTACTTTATCCACTTTACTATTCTCAGAAATCACATACTAACTGGTTTTAACAAGCCTTGGAGAGAGGGCGTAATGATTAAGAGTACTTGGCTGCTCTCTCAGAGTTCAAATCCCAGCACCCAGCTCACAAATACCTGTAACTCCACTCTAGGAAGTCCACCACCCCCTCTGGCCTCTTTAGGCTCTGAACTCACATCCTCTCTCTCTCCCTCTCTGCCTCTCTCCCTCTCTGCCTCTCTCCCTCTCTCCCTCCCTCCCTCCCTCCCCCCTCCTTTCTCACTCACACACACAATAACATTTTTTTAAATTAAAAAATTAACTTGTGTGTGGGTGTGTGTGCATATGTGCCTGAGTGCATATATCTGTGGGAGCTCCTCCTGGAGCTGGGGCTCTATGTAGCTGTGATTTGTTTGATATCCTCGTATGGGTGCTGGGAAATGAACTT